TTAATGAGAAGCAAGTTTAAAATTCAGCTTACAGTTGATCTTGGTGGACGGTTGTTAATGTTTCCAGCTCCATATATGCTTCAGAGGGAGTTAACAAGCGTCCTGCCATTTCAGCTAAGTTCGAGTGTCGTCCTTCAAACTTATTAATCCTTTCTCCAGAATACCAAATATCAGCTCTGTTGGGTGTCATTGTTGTTGGTTGCGACCCTCCAGTTTCAGCAGCTCCAATTGGTTCATTTATGCAATCATGTTGCTCATTTTGAACTCTAGCTCGTTCGTTTCGGTCACGATGTGCACTCTTGTTGTGACCTTCTCCACCGCATTGACTGCAATGAATTTTTCCATTTTTCTTGCTCATTCTTTGATTGTTGGGCTTCTGCTTTCTTGGTCGCTTTTGTTTCCCTTCCAATACCTCCTCCGGACCTTTTCTCCTATTCACCCTACGTCTCCCCCTTGTTGCCTTAGCATCAATGCTAACATAGGGTGGCATCACAGGGTCTTGGTTGCTATCCCTCCATGATTCAGGCCCAACCATGGATTCCAGTGTGTAGTTATAAATATTAACATAGGTGGCCACCTCATAACACTTATCCACATATGGTTCAACCTTCTCCTTCTTTGAAAATATGCAGCAAACAACATGAGCACATGGTATTCCAGTCAACTCCCATTTCCTACATGTGCAACTACATTTGTTCAAGTCGACAACAACTTGTCCTTCAAGACATCGAACCTGGAATGTGTTAGAACCATTGGGTAGGGCTCTACAACCGAAGCTACCCTCCTTAGCCGCATTTATCTTCTTCAGAATTTTTGGGCAGAATTGTCCTTTGAAATTATTCTCAGCAAATGCCTTTTTCTTTGCAAATCTAACCATCAACTGACATCTAATAGTCTCAAACATACTAATGATGGGTTTGACTCTAGCGCCTAATATGACCCTATTCCAGGATTCGCAGTGGTTGTTCAACAACACATCGGTCTTGGAATTAGTTCGAAAGTATGCTCGACACCACTGATTCAAAGGTTTTTCCAACAACCACTTACATGCATCTTCATTATACTCCCTAAGTTCACTGACAGTTCTTTTGAACTCAGCTTCATATGAAGACCTAGCAATTGCCCATAACATGTCTTTCGTAGTTTTGTTACCTGATTGAGCTCGTTGAAGGTTAGACCAAAGGTGTCTAACGCAAAATCGATGCTCTGCATATGGTACCAGTTGTTAGAGTTATATATACAAAATTTAGAATTATAGAATTCATTTCTAAATGCTAATCACGTAGAGAACAAGGTATTAAAAATTTAGAATTATATACAAAATTTATGCCATTTATATTATCCTAACTAGAGCAAAGGTAGAGACGTGTCTCCAGGATTATTAAACTAATAATAGCCTCCATAGTTAAATTTAAAATGACAAACAAAAGGTCCATAATCAAAATTACAGCAACAGAGATAGAAAAGTTAATTAAAAACAATGTTCAGCTCACTCATATATTTGGTGATTACCTTTTGTTTATCGCACATGAATGTCCAATCATCAGACACTTCTCGAACTTGTAAGTCTTGGAGTACATGAGCCAAAAACCATGTCCAGTTCTCTTGGTTCTCTACCCCACCAAAGCATAAGCTATAAGAAAAATTCCATCATTGGCGTCGATTCCAACAGCAGAAAGTAGTTGTCCTCCATGAAGTGTCTTCAAGAAGCAACCATCGAGAAAAATGATCTTCCTACAACCGGCTGCAAACCCGTCTTTACAAGCAGCCAAACAACAGTACATTCTCAAAAAATAGTTATCCTCTGTCTCCACAAACATAGTCGAACCCGGATGAGTTCGATTCACCTCCGCGCAGTAGTCACGAAGTCGCACATATTGATCTTCAGCCTTTCCCTGTATCAAATTCACCGCATAATCACGTGCCCTTCTTGCTGTCCATCTTGATACAGTATAATGAAAGTCTTCTTCCACCGTTTGCATTATCGAATCATTCCCCCATTTAGGATCAATTTCAAACCTAAGCAGGTACTTCTTGGCAATGAATTTGTAAGTAAACCACTTGTGCCAAGATAGCAGAACACATCCATTATGTTCCAATTGGGCTGTTTTAATGTGAACTTTCTTCCCATCTGCAGAAGGTGACGCCCAAATGTTCCAACCACAATTCTTGTCACACAAAACTTGAACTCTTGTTGGGTCACTGTGGGCAAATCTCAAAGGAAACTTATTTTTTATTGAGTAAGCTCTAATAGCTTGCTTGAAAGTGTTCAAGTCCCTAAAGATTTGCCCCACAGAGAATTGAGGATTTTCCATATCCCTTGCTGGATTAAACTCTTCGAACTTATTTTTCGTATAATTTTCGTCATCACTTGAATGGGAGCTGCCCATGTCATCTGAATCATAGCAATCTGTGTCAACATCTCTACCAATGTCATCATCAATGATCGAATTGTTCGTGTCCCCTCCACCTTCAAAATCTTCGAAATCAAAGTCCTCATCACTAACTTCATTTTGATCATCCTCAAACTCACTTTCAGCTTCAGACTCAGCTTCTCCTTCTGTAAAGAGAAACAAAAAGCTTGAAAATGGGATGGAAAACATACTCTCAATAATAAAATTCACAAACCAACAAGTAGGGGGGCCATTTACCTTACCCAAACAAACAAATTAAAGAAACAAAAATATTAATAAAAAAGAGTTATCATTCATGCAACTCTTGCATGCAAGGGCAAAAAGAAGCAAACGTACTTCCCTTCCTTTAACATAAACCCTAATTCAAGTTTAAACAAAAGACAATATGCAGTTAGAAAAGAAAGAATCCTTACCATGTCGTGGTAGAGAATCCCGACCTCCTGACATACTAACAGTTGGAGCAATCTTGTCCCAATTTAAACTCTATCATAGTCATAGGAAAACGGAACTGGGTTTAGTACATATAGCACAAGTAACAAATACGGAAAAGCCTAGAAGAAAGGTTGAGATTCCATACCTGCAAAGGTTTCCAGCTTCGGTGAGAAAATATTGGCCGACCTGTTTTTTACGATCGTCGTCTTATGCGTAGGATTATTTTTCGCCGTCAAGTCTCGTCGAGCTGCAATTTTGATGGAGAAGATGAAGAGTTTCAACTTGGGGAAGCGTCTTTGGGAGGGAGAGGTTTGGTATTGGGGTTTTTTTTTTTTTTTTTTGCGAAGGGATGGAGAAATACAAGGGGTGATTAGGTAAGTGACTCAGCAGCCTCGTGGCCTGTTGTCAAAGCTTACTTGGAAATTTTGTTTCTCCGTTAGTGAAATGGATGGAAAATTGGAAGGATGCACATTTAATTGACTTACATGGCATCCAACGCTCTAAATTGACTTTAGTGGTATCCTTCCCCCAATTCTCAAAGTTTAATGGTATGGGCTGTATTTCTCTCTTTTTAGGAAATAAGGGGACGGTGCTTATAAAAAAAAGAAATAAGTGGACGGGTTATTCCCCATTTCCGAGCAGAAAACACACACTTAGACCTCGCGTTCAATTCACGACGGGTACAATTTTGTTCCCTTTCCTCTGTGCTTCTAAACGATGTCGTTTCGTCAACCATAAGTCATAACCCTAGAAGGAGACGGGTGTCGAACTCTCCTCCCAATTCCTTCTACCTCTCGCTCGACCTCCCATCCCACCATATCCCGCTACCGCTGTTCCTTCTTCCCCCAGACCACTACCAGTCTCGGCGTTCCCTACCCCCAGACCACCACCTACCCCACCCCACCCCACCCCACCGCCATCATCTTCCTCTCCCTCGAGACAATGACGAACCCCGTCCGAGAAGTCAAGCAGCAACAACGATTGCGCCGCCATCATCTTCCTCTCCCTCCAGACAACCATGAGCCTGCATCCGAGATGTGAAGCATCATCTAACGCTTGTTCCGAGGGCGTTCATGAAGCACTCAATGCGGCGGTGGTCACTGAAGCAACGACCATCAACAACAAATTGCATCACACGAGAACACCAAACTCCACGTAAGGTCCCCCTGATTCTCCTTTCGTATTTTGGGTTTGTGTGTTTTGAGACCGATGATGGGTTAGTTCTTTATTTATCTGAGGTAGAGTCGTGATGTTTCTGAACTTTTGCAAGTTGGGTATTGCGTAGGATAATTAAAGGGATATTAGGTTAGAATTACTCCATTCCACTACTGCTGACTGATTACTGAACTTTCACCGTGTGCAGCAACGAATGGAACAAATACATAACAAATAACGCTTATACCTAGTTTTCTAATTTAGATTTGATTGGTTTTAGAACCCCAAGAGTTTAGCTATGGATCGTGTGTCTTTATTGTTGCTTATATATCCATTCATCCATCTGGTTATGTTTCTCTGGATCACTCCTGTACCTTCTTTCCTAATATGGGCTTATATTGTTCTTACAACCTCCTAAACCCTGATTTCTCAACTTCTTCATCAAACAACAGGTAGAGACTGCCAACACTAACCTCTCTATTCAAATAAATTGAACAGGTGTGCAAACACAACTATGACTTCAACTTGTGTGCCCACGTTCTGCAATCTTATCCCGAAGCATCATCAACAACAACAACAAACATAAAATCCTTAGCCAAAGTTATCCAAGAGATGGCCAAAAAGCAATCAACCATCCTGGGCAAACTCTTTACTGAGCTAAGGAACAACAAAGCTACCAAGCAACCAATCAAGTTGTTATTGGATCTATGTGCCTCCCTGTAAAATGATGCAACTATTTCTTCTCACAAATTGGGTAAGGAGATGTCGCTAAAAGTTTGGAAGTTTCATTCTGTTTTAGATAATTCTGAATCTTGCCGAATTGAATTAGCAACAAAACGTGTCTTGTTAAAACAATTGCACGTGAATCTACCTCTCTACCTTATAAATGTAAGAATTCAACAGTGAATAATGTAACACTGTAGTTCTGTACTAATTTTGATTCTTGTCTTTACTGTTTACAGAAGTATACGATTGTTCCTTTAAGAATTGGTGGTATATGTCCTGTTGTGAATCATTATAGTCCTTAAATACATGTCATCTTCCTCACAGAATTTCTGCATATAAATAGTAATTTGGTGGAGTTTTTCTATGTTGACAGTAATAAAAGCTTGCCACATTCTTTCACATTGTTTCCGTTGATTAAGTTATTCATATGCTGAATGCAATGGTGGCTTGATGAGCTGAAGGGTAAAGCCTCTTACCAAGTCATACACGGACTCTTTAAACGAGCTTGGAATCTCAAGGTAATTTATTGATACTTGTTTGATTCGTAAGCCATTTTTTTGCTTTCTACTTAAGTTTAGATGAAGTTTTGGCATTTTTTTTATTTTAATTGCAGCTTGAACATTTGCCTACAGATTATAGTGGCTCATCCCTTACTCTCATTGGTTCTCAAAGAATTTGTCATTTGATATTGATGTCAGGTAAACCTTTTTGAGGTACTAAGTTGTCAATATCTCTGTGAACATTTAGCTGGTTTTTGTTGTTTTGATATCTTTTCTTCATAGTTCGGTTCATTAATTTCAGTAGCCTTAATTTAAAACTATGTGTAAGAAAAAGTGGCTTATCTTGTTGATGTTTCTGCAAAGTCATCTTAAAATTGACAAATGGCCTTTTCCAAATTCTAATTGTGTGTCTTGTCGTTCTTTTCGTGTGAATCAGTTTGTCCAATATCCCCTTAAGAGGTGCAGGACAAGGAGCAGCAGCCTGGAGCTTAAGGCGATAAGAGACATTTGCAGGAGTCATCTACTCCATTTGCCTGGCTCTATTTGTTTCAACATTGTTGTATTCTTTAGTTGTTCCAGTTGCTTTTTTTTACGTGTAGCTCCTTTACATGATTTCGTTTCATGTTAATGTTTATTTACTTTGTCATTGGATTCCATAAATGAACTCCATGTAATATTTTTGTCTTATTTAAAAGAAATTATTGATACAAAGTCTAAGTCTCCAAGAGCATGCAACAAGAAGTAGATGCAACAAGCTAATGTAATTAATTAAAAGGATTCTTTGTAGTGTTTATTATATGTCATTTTAGACATGAGACAAATAATGCACCTTTTCTGACAAATATATTCGCCAATATATGCAGGTATGACAAAATAATGTCGTCACAATAAACACTTGTGAGAAAATGTAGTCGTCACAATATACAGTTAAGACAAAATATAATTGTGTAATATGACGAATAATTATCCCAAATCACCAGATTATGACAAACTTAATGACAAAATATTTCGTCATAACATCTATGTTTGTCACAATAGACTACCCAGAATCTCAGCTATACTATATGAAAATGTGACAAATTTGTTTTAAATATTTGTCACATTTGACCTATCCTGACGGTGATAAAATGACAAACCTTTGTGACAACACCATTTGTCATATTATACCTAATATGACAAAATCGGTATCTAATATGACAAAATAGCCTCGTCATAATAGGCAGAATTTGTTGTAGTGTTTATAGGGAAAATGTGAGAAACCTTCCATAAATGGTGATATAGCAAGTTGTGCATGGTTAAGCACAACAAGGTTGTGCAAGGATCTGCTCTCGCGGCACGACACTAGTGCCGGTAAATTTTTAGTCGTTGGATTTGTTGCATTTAACGACTATCGTTGATTAATAATAACTACTTAACCCAAATCAGTTGAGCATATAATATATTATAATTGTTTCAACCTATTATTTATTCAAACTTTTACTTTTTATTATACTTAATTATATATAGGAAAACCCAATAATTATTATTTTATTTTCCTTATGAGTTTCCATAATATTTTTGGTCATTATTATCCTTGCGGATAGTTAGTTAACAGCGGGGTAGCACAAATAATTTGTACCTGCACCGACTCAAAGACTAACTAGATAAATGAATTCGTAAAGATCATTAGAAGAACTAGGATAACGAAGGTCATTGCATGCACCGTAAGTAATTGAAACACAAGAGTATGAACTACCGGCCGAATTGCACCACCCCTAGTGTCGCTAGTCACACTTGTTACTTACTACTGTAAGACATGTTGTGCATTGCTAGTGATCTTAATCGATCGATCAGTCCATCCCCATTGTTGAAGAAGATATAACACTTCCCCGATCACCAGTAGCTCAATCAAATAGGAATTGGAAACAACGAAATCAAATTATCAAAACCCACAATGTCGACAACCCCATGATTATATCTTTGAGTTGCACCAACCACCGCAATACGAAGATGGTAAGAAAGTATAATGGATAGACTACGTGAGGTTGGCGGTGTAGCATCAATGGTGGAAAGGAGGACGGTCTGGTGATCAGCACGATGAGACAGGTACTAGAGATGAAGACCAGAGAGTGTGTACTATGCATGTGGGAAGAACATACCACTTTATTCTATACTTTCTATAGTCGGCAATAGAGTAACACCCACTTGGTCAGCAGTTCAAACTCATGGTAGAGAAAGAGACTACGTCATATCAAAGCGATGTGGTGTGATGACTCTAAACCATGAGGTAAATAAAGTACAAGAAGGCCTCGTAAGTGAATGACGACGAGACAACGAATGGAAAAATGTTGCCTCAAATCGACGATAGCGCCTCGATTGAATTTTTTAGCCAAGTGATTTGCTGATTGCAAAGTGAATATTCCGTTTGCTTAAAAATGGCACACATGTCTTCACATGTGCAACAAGGTAGAGGAATTGTCAAGATGACCTGAATAGTGGCATCATCAAAATATTGTAGTAACCGGCCAATGTTCGAATAATATGTGACTTGGGAAATAAAATAGGACACAAATTGTGATGATCATAGAGTTTGAGTCAGCAAAACAACCTCCCAACATGAACACATTATAATCAAATCTCGACCATGAAGAATGGATTGCCATACCCTGGATGTATTCATACCCATAGTGGCAATTAAGGAAGGATGTGCAAAGAAAATAACGACCTTTTAGAATCTTACTCATTAGCGAATGAGGATTGGTTAGACTATGCCAACACTGTTTGTCCAGCAACACCTGATTAAATACTGTAAAATCCCAGAACCCCAAACCCCTTTTTTCCTTGGAAAGAAATAAAATGATGCCAAGAAATCCATGGCAAATGACATTTAACCCCCTGACACCACCAAAAGAGGGCAATCATCCGATTAAGTTAGCCACAAAGTTCCTGCGAGAGACGAAAACATGACATAAAATACACATGAAGGGTCGAGACCACAGATTCAATCTAAGTTTCAAGACCTTCCAAGGAAAAACACTGGTGCTTCCATCCTAGTAATTTTTTTGCTATCGGTTCCTCAATAAAAACAGAAAGTGGCATATTTTGACCTTTGCATAAGAAATGGGAGCCCCAAATACTTGTTAGTGACTCAGATTGTGTCGATCTGTAGCAAAGAACCCAAGTTGGTTGCATCTCTTGGAGTGGTATTATTTAGAAAACTACTACCATTTAGAAAGATTCACAAGTTGTCCAGTCATACACTCATAATGATTAATCAAATGTAGCATATGGTGGCAGTCAGTAGAGGATGCACACATAAATAAGAACACATCACCGATAATGAAGAGATGAGAAAGGACCGGACAATGATGATTAAATCTAACACCCTCACTGGAAAAAAACATGAATTTTTGCGATGGAAATACTAGCGACGAGATAAATTTTTCACAAAAAGTGGATTTTCGCCAAAGAATTCAAATAATTCTTCACTAAAAATACCAATTTGGACGAAGGTGGAATTTTGTTGAGAGTTAGAGGAAAGTGCACGGGCTAGAGCCGATTATGCACAGTCGTAGGTTGTAACCATGCAGACGAAAGAATGCGTTCAGAGGCGTACGTGCCGTGCAAGGCGCTTCCCAAGCCATGCATGTTTTCCAGAACTTCTGCACAGGCTGAGCTCATTCTACGTGGTCGTGCGATGGTCGTGTAATCCCCTTCAACCAATTAAGTGGAATGCTGCGTTTTAAAGTTACACGGTCATACGTGAATTTTGCACAACCGTGCGTTGGTCGTGTAATCAAGTAGAGCTATGTTTTAACCCAATTTCGGGTATTTGGAGAGGGATTCGAGTTTTCTAAGCAAAAACCAGAGTTTTAGAGAGAGAAAGGACGAAGAACAAACCCTATGAGATTTTTTTCGAGTAGATTTCTCTTCATTGAATCCCAGATTGCGTCTCAAGGAGTGAAGATTGACATCGCAGAGTAGATTATTCCCATCTTTATGAGTATGACTACTTTGATTTCTGTTTTCCTCTTTGTCTCTAGAGTAAACCTTTCTCTCACTTGACTATGAAGAACCATAGTTCCATGTGTTAGAGATCTTGTTTGTAATAACTTTTGGATGTTATACTGGATGATTTTAATCAATTGAGGCATGTTTGTTGAGTCTAAAGAAAAAAGGGCTAATTGCATGGTGGTCACTGAGATTACAAGAAACGTTCAAGTTTGGTCAATCAAAATATTTAAATCCATTGGTGGTATTTCAGTTTACTGAAACCGTTCACGTTTGGTCACACTCCGTCCAACTCCGTTAACTTTTGCTTACGTGGCGGTCAACTCTAAAAGTTGAACGTTAAATATCTGACGTTGTAATTTAAAAATAATAGAATTAAATTTTTCAAAATTGCCATCTCATTTACACTCATTATCAATTTTATATAAAATAAATAAAAAACCCTAATTTCTTCTAATCCCCAATCCCAATACCACCGCCCTTTGACCACCGCCTGGTGGCGGAAGGCCATCTCCACCGAGAAACAAACCCTGTGCGACCTCCAGGGCAACTGCGGCACCTACTTCCCTCAATAACCATTATTGGATGGCTTGGCACTACCGCCATGGCTTGTCTTTGTATCCTTCTCCTCCAGGGGACCAGGATTGCTTTTTTATTAGTCTCACTTACTCCAGAAATGTATTGGAGAACAATTTTGGCCCAACCGCCCGGGGGTTCATCTTACCATCAACCAACTATTACAATCATACATTCATACATAGCACAACGCGTGCCTCCACCCTTACGGGCGGTGGGATGCCTCACACACATATCGCGCAAACTCATAAATTAACTAATGAATAACTTGAAAGAAAAGCATAACCTAAAAGACCTACGACAGAGATTTTACCCCCTTTACACTCACCTTTTTAGTCGCGTCAACGTCTGCATTCTCACGCTCAAGCCCCGGGTGTTTTTCCTCCTTTGGCTCCTTTTCTATAGGTTCATCGTCTTCCTCTTCGACGACCTTCACCAATCACCATTGGAGTTCTGCCGACATTCTATTCGAGGTCCCTCCTCGGGCCACAATTCGGCGGCCAACTTCGAACTCTCGACACCCCGGGTCGTCTAGGAGGATAGGGTCGGAGCCTCTCCATCGCTTTACTCCCGCCAGTCGTGATCGCCGTTGCCGAGTTCTCGGCCTTCCTCCCGCCTCCGCTAGACACGACTCTTCCTCTCCTACTAACCGGCGTGAACCTCTTCATCACGAGAGACTACAACGTTTGATCGGCGACTTACTCTCTCACCTTCTTTCCCTCCTTAGCCGGATTATCCCAGAAAACCTATTAATAAGAAATTCATATTCTAAGACGACTTTTCTCAATTTAAAACCCCTTTCTATCTACCCAGAAACCATCTCCTCAAAGTCCCATTCTCAAACCTCACTCCAAAAGTCCCCTAACCCCCTTTAAAAATTTTCTATAAATAATTCCTTCAAAATTTTTGTCTTGGACGAATTTTTCACCTAACTTGAACCTTTTTAACAATTGAGATAATAATTTTCCTATGTTAATCATAAGCACCTATACCCTGTAAAATTATGAAACCCTTAAAATCCACTTGATAAGATTTTTATTTAATTAAAATAAACATTCGAACAATTTCTAAAAATAAAAATACATCTTCAAAATTCCCCAAATTAAATT